AAGGATGGAGTTGAGATGTGTTGTGGCTGTGATGAGGCATGGGGATCGGACGCCCAAGCAGAAGATGAAGATGGAAGTCAAACATAAAATGTACGTGTGTCTGTGCGTGCGTGTGTGTGTCTGTGTGCGTGCGTGTGTGTCTGTCTGTCTGTGTTTGTATGTTTGTGTTTATGTTTGCTTATTCGTATTGTTCGCATGATAAACATATTCAGTTGCAATTAATCAGTTAATCCTTCAATCAGGCATTCATTTGATCGATCAGCTGACCAACCAACCAACCAATCAACCAAACATTCATTCATCTGCTCAGTCACTCAGCCAACTAATCAATAGACCATTCATTCAAGGTTCTTCAATTTATTTGAGAAATATGGTGGGTTTCAAGCTGGACATTTGAAGCTGAAGCATCCGAAACAACTGCAGGAAGTTCTCGATATTGCTCGGTTTGTTGTTTGGTTGGTTGACTGACTGGTTGACTGATTGGTTGGCTGATTAGTTGACTGATTGGTTGACTGATTGGTTGGCTGATTAGTTGACTGATTGGTTGACTGATTGGTTGACTGATTGGTTGACTGATTGGTTGACTGATTGGTTGACTGATTGGTTGGCTGACTGGTTGACTGATTAGTTGACTGATTGATTAGTTGGTTAGTTGGAGGATTGTTTGATTGGTTAGTGTTAGAATTATTATAATTGAACGAACAAACACAAACAAACGAACAGCCATTCAATTTATCAGTATTCAACTAATTGACAGCTCAGCTATACAATCAATCAATCAACCAATCAATTAACAAATCAATCAATTAACTAATCAATCAATCAATTAGGTTCTTGTTATCGGAATATTCATCTCGTCCGGACGGCGACTTATTCGAGAAGCAGTCGAAACTGGAACAACTAAAATCCGTGCTTGAAATGTTAGTGGATTGAATGAATTAATGAATTAATGAATGAATGATTGAACGAATGAATAAATATATAAATACATAAATGAGTAAATGAATGAGTATATAGTAAATAAAAAAATATATAAAAAAATTGTTGATTGATTGATTGATTGATTGATTGATTGATTGATTGATTGATTGATTGATTGATTGATTGATTGATTGATTGATTGATTGATTGATTGATTGATTGATTGATTGATTGATTGATTGATTGATTGATTGATTGATTGATGGATCGAATGATTGATTGATTGATTGATCGATTGATGGTTGAAGGTACGGTCATTTTTCTGGCATCAACCGTAAAGTCCAGTTCAAATATCAGTCGCAATCATCACCCAAGAAGTTCCAAGAAAAAATTGAATGTATGTTCGTGATGATGATGATGATGGTGGTGGTTACGATGATGATGATGAAGGTTATGATGACGATAATGAAGGTTATGATGACAATGATGATGATGAAGGT